GATGATATTGTGGTATGGAAGCTGCAGCTGTGGATGGCTCCTAGGGTCACAGGTCAATAGGAGGCAAAGAACATTCTACAGTCCAGTTAGCTGATAGAGCACAAATCACCTTTGAGTGAGCAGAGACCCTCTGCCGCCGGATAGGATGAAAACAGGGCAGTGGCCATAATGAAGGCCGAAGGGTCTGCAGGGGCCCGGCTGGGGCTGGAAGGACACCTTGGGAGTGTAAAAAAGGACCGGTGCTGAAACCGGTTTGGCTCAGTGGATAGAGCGTTGGCCTGCAGAATGAAAGGTCCCAGGTTCGATTCTGGTCAAGGGCATGTACCTTGGTTACGGGCACCATCCCCAGTAGGGGGTGTGCAAGAGGCAGCTGATTGATGTTTCTAACACTCTATCCCTCTCAATTCCTCTCTGTAAAAAGAAATCAATAAAATATATTTTAAAAAAGAAAGAAAACCTGTCTTTTGATGACATCCTTGAAGAAGCTAGATTTTACAAACCTATCCATACATTGACTGGGGCGCTGCTTGAACATGACCCATGAAACAAGCAACAACCACCTTTGGCTTTGTCAATACCGTCAGCTGTTCAGAGTGTTCCCTCCTTGTGCACAGCTCCAAGCACTTCACGGTTTATGCGACAGAGGGAGGAGAAAACCACCCTCATGCGATCGGTAAGGAAAACAAGTTTACAAACCTTAAATGACAGGTCTCTGTAGGGTTGTCAATGTGAGGAGCCTTTTTAAGAGGTAACCCACGGGAGTCATCTCACTTAATTTTTTTGGTCGCAAATTGGCTAGGTGGATTTTATAAACGATTCAAAATATATCTCAGGGGAGAGAAGGAGAAGCAAGAAACCTTCACCGCGCCAGCTCGGGGCAAAGAGGAACACTCTCAGAGCGATGGGTCCCTCCTCACGAGCGAAGGGCCCATGCGAAGGTTTAAGCAGGGTGAGCCTGGCTGCTGTCTAAGGTGGTATTCACTCAAAGATGCTAAACGTTGGAGCTCAGGGAGAGGAGAAAGAACAAAGACGCCTGGGAGCTGAAGCCATGCCTGTACTTCATAACGTTGGTTTTGTGGAGAAACAAACTACCAAAGTTGAAATGACCCCTCAAAACTGGGGTGTAAATTGACAACTGGGGTCTCCCAGTTGCCAGTTTGCAGCCTTTCAGCTCCAGATCCACCCTTCATGGCCCTGCTTGGGATGCTGGAGCTGGACCCTGTGGACGCCTCCTCCATCAGGGGAGTGATGTCAGGGAGCCGCGCTGCAAGAGCAGGACAGGAGGCGGCTTCTCTTCTGGGTTCTGGCATGTTTCCTCTCTTCCTGTTGCTGCAGCACAGATGACCTGCTGTGGTGCTCACCTGAGTCAGCTCAGCAGCACCCTCACAGGTGGTTCCCAGGAGGGTCTAGAGCCCCAGCCAGCTTCCTACAGAGAAAGCACAAGGCCCCCTCCGCCCCCCCAGCAGCTTCCTGACAAGCTGGCCAGTGTCCCAGCTGGACCCCAAAGGTGCTCCTAGAATTTGTCAGCACCTCACTGCTAGCAGAGGGCTACAGCCAGGCTGAATCTCCACTTTAAGGGGAGAAGACCCTTGTCCACATGTGTTCCTTCCCTGGGAGGTCTGTCTCAGTTCTAGGCAGTAGCTGCTTCTTGTGTCTGCTCTCCCTGTAATCTTGGGACTTTCTTAACCCTCATAGTAACGAATCCTATGCTACTAGTTAATAGTTCTTCCTATTATACTCTTCAAATTACTGGTCATTTCTGTTTTCAGTATCTTTTAAAAATATATATTTTATTATTTTTTTACAGAGAGGAAGGGAGAGGGATAGTTAGAAACATCAAGGAGAAACATTGATCAGCTGCCTCCTGCACGCCCCCTAGTGGGGATGTGCCCGCAACCAAGTAGTACATGCCCTTGACCAGAATCGAACCTGGGACCCTTCAGTCCACAGGTCGATGCCCTATCCACTGAGCCAAACCAGTCAGGCTGTTTTCAGTATCTTATCATTGATTACAATACTCATATCCAACATGGATATGTTCACCAAAAAGCAAGTACAAGAAATTTCTTAGCCCTAGCTGGGTTGGCTCAGAGGATAGAGTGTTGGCCTGTGGACCAAAGGGCCCTAGGTTCAGTTCCAGTCAAGGGCAGGTACTTTGGTTGCAGGCTACTCCCCGGCCCAGGCCCTGATCAGGGCTCATAGAGGAGGCAACCAATTGATGTGTTTCTCTCAGATTGATGCTACTCTCTTTCTTTCCCTCTCTCGTCCAATCTCCCTAAAAGTCAATGAAAAAATATTCTTGGGTGACACTTAACAAACAAAGAAATTTCTTAGTGGCATTATTCATAAGAGCCCAAATCTCCATCACCAGAAGAAGTGACAAATAAAGTGAGGTGCATTCATATAAGGTGCATTCATGTTAGTGCTATACAGCAATGCCAATGAATGAACTACAAATACATGTAACACATATAATGCTGACACATATAATGCTGAGTGAAAGCAGGAACCAAAGAAAACACTCTGTATGATTCCATTTATATAAAACTGCCCAGACAGGCAACACTAATCTCCAGTGCTAGAAGCAAAAAGCACTTTCTCCCAGAGGGGATAGTGACTGGAAGGGACAAAGGTGTTCTGAGAGGCTGGTAATGTTCTGTTTCCCGCCAGTGCCTTTTTGATGTTTGGATTAAAAAAAAAAATCATCAGACTGAAAAATACTACACATTTATTGACTTTGTGAGGTGTGAATTATTTTACTCAAATAAGAAGACAAGCTCATTTATTTACTCAACAAAAAGTGTCTGTACATATTAGATACCAGTCACCATATATGATGCTAAGGATCTAGAGATGAATTAGTTATTCTTGATTCTGGTCCACCACGGTGCTAGAGGAAGACTGACATGAAAGCAGATAACTACAATGCAACCTGATTCCTGGAATGGTTTAGGAGTGGATGGAGCGCTGGAGCTATAGAGGAAGAAACTGTGAACTGAAAAGCTACACACAGAAAGCTTTTGTGAGCAGACAGTTCTTCTCTTCAGACATCCCATTGTCGAAGATGTCAAATAAGCAGTTGGAAACTTTAATTTAAGACATGAGGAACATTGGGGCTGTACATATATGTATGTATGTGTAGGTCCACAGTTACATATGGTGATGGTTGAAGTTGCAGAGATGAGATCACCAATAGAATGTGTTTGGGCTAAATAGGAAGGGACAGATGATAGAACTCTGAAAGAATTCGAGTGGACAGAGAAGGAAAAGCCTGCAAAGAATACTGAATAAAAGGTAAGTCAGAGCAGTAGGAAGAGAAAAAGGAGACTCGTGTCTTATGAGCAGAAGGACAAGAGAATGTCAGAGCATTAACTTTCATTGTCAAAAGCCATTTGTGAGACCAAGTAAGACTGGTACAGTACATTCTCACTTAACATCATTGATAGGTTCTTGGAAACTGTGACTTTAAATGAAACAATGTATGTAATGACAAACACAAGCTAACTGGTAAAATTGGCAATTTCTGTGGCACACCAAAAATATATATATTTTTGCCAATCTGAGGAAAAAAAAGTATAATTTTGACTCATTCACATCACACAGCTATTGTGTTGGCTGTTGTCATTTTTTTAAATTTGATAATCTGAAGGAAAAGAGATGAGTGTCCTGACTAAATAGTCAGGTGTTGCACATTTTAAAAATTCTTGCAGCACACCAGCGTGCTTCTTGTGGCAAGTGGTCTGAAAATTGCTGCCCTAGGCCAGTGGTCGGCAAACTCATTAGTCAACAGAGCCAAATATCAACGGTACAATGATTGACATTTCTTTCGAGAGCCAAAATTTTTAAACTTAAACTTCTTCTAATGCCACTTCTTCAAAATAGATTCGCCCAGGCTGAAAACCGACTTCTGCTCATGGGCCATGAAATTTCAATCACACTGTACGTGCGCGCCCACATGTGGTGTTATGTGGAAGAGCCGCACTCAAGGGGACCAAGAGCCGCATGTGGCTTGCAAGCTGCAGTTTGCCGACCAGTGCCCTAGGCTGATACAAGCAAGAATTAAGTTGTAATGGAATCTTATAAACATTATAATTAAATGACATTAAATGAAACAGTACTAAAAAAATTGCTGTATATGGTTTTGACAAGAGGTCAGTAGAACTCAAAATAAAACTATTTTAGAAAATCTGGCTTTTATCAGAAAAGGCTGCGAATATAGATTAGTCTTTAAAAATATTTGGTGGTAAAGTGAAGGAGAAAGAGAAATTACTTTGAGCATGACTGTAGGCTAAGGGGAAGGAGAAAAGGAACAGTAGGGTGGCAGGAGGTCCCAAAGTCAATGGGGTGGGGTAGAGAAGTCTCCAGAAACAATTGTTTTGTAGGTATCTGCTCTTCTACAATAAGTGAGGTCCTCAGATGGGCAGCATCAGCAGCACCTGGGAACTTGTTAGCTATGCAGAATCTCAGGGCAAATTGCAGGTGTAATGGATCAGAATCCACATTTTAACAAGATCTCCAGGTGACCATAGCTTGTAATCCTCACAAGAGGTAAGATTGGCATTATTGCTAACTGGGCATTATTGCTCCCGGCTTTTTTTTTCTTTCTTTCTTTCTTTTTTTTTTTCCTTTTTTCTCCCCCCAATAATGAGACTAAGGCTCGAGGAAGCTACCTGAGATAGCAGAGCTGATTAGCAGCTGAGCCAACATTCAATTCCAGCACTTTCTGATTCCAATGCTCCTTTCTAAAGGTAGAAAAGTAAGTTCAGAGGAATTTTTGCTTTCACCCAATTGTTTCAGATGCTAGAACGCCGCCAGCAACCAATCACCGGTCTGCAGCTCTCGTGCCGCCCCCTGTGTTTGTTGAGACCGTGACTCTCGCACCCCGCCCTGAGCCCTTGGCATACTCGCCGGAAAGTTGGGAACTACACTTCCCAACAAATCCTGCGGCTTCCTATCGCGAGAGGCGTGCCGATAACCTCGCTTCTCTCTCTCCTCTCTAGTGGAGGGTCCCTGCAGCGGCGGGGCACGTCCCAGCATGACGTAAGGGCGCGTGGCATCCTGGGATATGTAGTCTGGCTGGGACCAGAGCGCCCCCTCGAATGAATGGGGCCGGGGCTGGCAGTGAACTACAGCTCCTCTAGCCCGGAGCGTTGGTGGCGGCGCCACCAGGGAAGAGCCGCGCTCCGGGAAGGGACGATGTTCTGTGCCGCCGCCGCCGCCGAGGTAGTGGTCTAGGCGGGCGCTTCCTCCGCGCGCTCATTCCCCTTCCCCGCGCTGACCATGCGCCCGCTCTTCGCGGTGGGCCTGGTGTTCGCCGGCTGCTGCAGTAACGTGATCTTCCTGGAGCTGCTGGTCAGGTGAGTAACCCCGCGGCTCTCGGGGTTGCACCGAGGAAGCCGGAGGGGCGTCCCCACGCGTCACCCCCACGCCCCGCGGGTTCGGCCCTGCGCCGCCTGGGACCCTGAGAGCCCACTCCTCCATTCTGCGCAGGCTCCGTCCGCTGCCCCAGCAAATAGTTTCACAGCATCCCTCGCAGGAAACACTCGGGGTGTTGCTGGCATCACCCCTTTTTCACACACTTGAGGGTTTGAGTCCGGGAGAATTTCTCACGTGACTGGGCAGAATCTTGTGGCCGCAGAACCCAAGGTTCCTCTAGCTCTTTTCTCCAACCGGGTAGTAATTAATGCCACGTTTGACTGGAGCACTGGACCAAAGCTTTTGGACTTAGAATGCAGTCTGATTTTGTACACGCTGCAAAGAAAGAGTCACGTGTGTTAAAGTGCCTGCAGAGCATTTGTTTGTTACCTTTATAGAGGAGGTGGCCATGAGTACTTTGCCCAAACATTACCTCTCAGTGATGTAGGTGAATCAGTTCTTATTTATGTATGTGGTCCGTCTAATGGACCCAAGAGAGCATTTCCAGCTTTAAGGTATTAGTCTTTAAACTGGGAGGCATGTGTTTTGGGACGTAACTTCGTAAATTTAAGATTGGGGGAGTAGATAAAAACAGCTGTGGTGCATTTATATAATGGAATACTACTTGGCTGTAAAAAAAGAAAATCTTACCTTTTGCAACAGCATGGATAGACCTGGAGAGAATTATGCTAAGTCAAATGAGCCAGTCAGAGAGAGAGAAATACCATCTGATCTCAGGTGTATGTGGAATGGAATCAGCGCAATCATTTGACAAACAAAATAGAAACAGAAGCATAGGTACATAACAGATTGACAGCTGTCAGAGGGGAGGAGAGTTGGGGGCTGGGTGAAAAAAGGTGAAGGGATTAAGAAAAAACATAAATATATATGACACATTGGCAGGGTCAACAGCATGGTGATAGCCAGGTGGAAAGGAGGGGTTTGGGAGGTGGAAGTGGGCAAAGAAGAGGTAAGTGGGAACAGAAATATACTGGGTGGTGAGCGCAGGGTGCAGATGATGTTTTTATTGAGTTGTACACATGAAACCTGTATAGTTTTATTAACCAGAGTCACCCCAATAAATTCAAGAAAAGAAAAGAATGGGGGTGACAAATGGAAGCTTCCAGTGGTGAGCAGGAGGTATTACACACAGATGTCAAATTTCAGTGTTGCACACCTGAAACTTATGCAATGTTAGCTTAAAAAAAAATGGCTTTACCGAAGTGAAACTAGGATGGCATGCAGATAATGTAGAGAAATAATGTGCAGCGTTCAATGGCTGCAAACTTACAGAAAAAAACAACAGGTGTCCTGAAAAAGGCTCAGGACTGAAAATCTTGAAATTATGAACTTCAGCTGAAACCGGTTTGGCTCAGTCAGTAGGGGTGTCGAACTCAATCAGAGAAGGGGCCAAAATCTAAAGTGTCGGCCTGCGGACTGAAAGGTCCCAGGTTTGATTCTGGTCAAGGGCATGTCCCTTGGTTGCGGGCACATCCCTAGTGCGGGGTGTGCAGGAGGCAGCTGATCCATGTTTCTGTCATCGATGTTTCTAGGTCTCTATCCCTCTCCCTTCCTCTCTGTAAAAAATCAGTAGAATATATATTTTTAAAAAAATTATGAACTTCATTCTTGACTTTGTCATATCCTGGTTTGGTGACCTATTCAAATCATTTCTCTTCTCTGGACCTCCTCCTCCTGCTGTAAAACGCTATTTATGGCGCTATCTACCATCATGTTCCCGAGTCTACACGTTATCTCCATGGGTCATCAGGACAATCTGTGTCCAAAATAGGTCAAGAATTAGAATATCTGTTTTCATGAAAATTGAATAGTACCCAAGAAGTCAGATGCTCTTTTACTTCTTGTAAGTGGCAGAGACAAGACCAGAATCTAGAATATCTCAACTCCTGGTCCAATAACTCTCTTCAACCTCCCTGTTTAATTTTGAACTTGAGCACGTTATAGGTTTTGGTCACCCAGTTTCTCATGTGGTGCCCACTAGAAATGTCTTTTATTTTCCTGATCCCATGGGTTAAAGTCATTCTGAAACAACTAGTTTATTTAAGGTAAACTCTGTGTGGGCTTTATTTTTGCAGTAACTGAGCTTGAAATTTTGTTATGCAGACAGTGTTGATAAAGATCTGTCATTTGGCATTCTTTTCTTTTTAAAGGATAAAGAACTTTTTTTAAAAAACAAGAATAGTTTATTGATTTTCAGAGAGAAAGGAAGAGAGAGGAACATCGATATGAAAGTGCAACATCGATCAGCTGCCTCCTGCATACTCCCCACCGGGGATCCAGCCCGAAACCTGGGCATGTGCCTTGACCTAGAATCCAACGGGCAGCTTTGTGGTGCACACAGAGGAAGGCCCAACGAACTGAGCCACACTGGCCAGGGCCATTTGTCCTTCTTGAGAGCAGGTGGAGAGGGATATAGCAATGTATCCTGCTGTAAGCTGGTACGTTTTAAAGGAAGGTTACTTTAGAAATCTAATGATTTCTGTTCCTTTATTTATTTTTTAAAATTTACAGTTGAAAGTATTACACATGTCCCCCTTTTTTCCTCATGGACCCCCACCCCTATCTTCCTCTCCAGGCCTCCTCTGCACTATTGTCTGTGTCCATGGGTTATGCAGATATGCACAGAAGTTCTTTGGTTAATCTCTTCCCACCCCTCACCCCCTCTACCACCCAGCCTTTCCTCTGAGATTAGTCAGTCTGTTCATGCTTCTATGCCTCTGGATCTGTTTTGTTCATCAGTTTATTTTGTTCATTAGATTTCACATATGAGTGAGATCATGTGATGCTTGTCTTTCTCTGACTGGCTTGTTTGGCTTAGTGTCATACTCTCCAGGTCCCTCCATGCTATCCCAAAGGGTAAGAAATCTTTCTTTTTTACTGCTGCATAGTATTCCATGGTGTAAATGTAATGAGTGGATAAAAAAAGCTTCTTCTTTTTTTTTTTTTTTTTTTTTTTTTATCCACTCATCTAACTTGGGCTGTTTCCAGATCTTAAGCTATTGTAAATTGTGCTGCTATAACAAAGGGGTACATACATTCTTTCTGATTGGTGTTCTGGGTTTCTAGGATATATTCCTAGAGGTAGGATCACCAGGTCAAATGGCAGTTCCATTTTTAATTTTTTTGAGGAAACTCCATACTGTTTTCCACAGTGGCTGCACCAGTCTGCATTCCCACCAGCAGTGTACTAGGGCCATAGTCAGCAAACTGTCATATGCGGCTCTTTGGCCCCTTGAGTATGGCTCTTCCACAAAATACCATGGCCTGGGCGAGTCTATTTTGAAGAAGTGGTGTTAGAAGGAGTTTAAGGTTAAAAAATTTGGCTCTCCAAAGAAATTTCAATCGTTGTACTGTTGATATTTGGCTCTGTGGACTAAAGAGTTTGCCAACCACTGTACTAGGGTTCCCTTTTTCTCCACATCCTCAGCACCATTTGTTCTTTGTTGATTTGTTAATGATAGCCATTCTGACAGGTGTGAGGTGATACCTCATTCTCATTTTAATTTGCATCTCTCTGATGATTAGTGACTAGCATTTTTTCATATGTCTCTTAGCCAGCTGTATGTCCTTTTTGGAGAAGTGTCTATTTAGGTCTTTGCCCATTTTTTAATTGGATTGTTTGTAAGCAATCTATGAATTTAATGCAGTTCTTTCAAAATCCCAATGGCATATTTCACTGATCCAGAACAAATATTTTGAAATTAATATGGAACCAACCATATAAGTTTATATGGCAGCAATCTTGAGAAAGAAGAACAAAGTGGTAGGGATCACAATACCAGATATCAAGTTATACTACAGAGCCATGTAATCAGAACAGCCTTGTCCCAGCACAAGAACAGGTATATAGATTAGTGGAACAGAACAGAGAACCCAGAGATTGACCCAAGCTTGATTCATAATTGACAAAGGAGACAAAAGCATACAGTAGAGTAACAGTCTCTTTAATAATTGGTGTTGGAAAAATTGGACAGATACATGCAAAAAAATGTAACGAGGCCACCAACTTACACCATACAAAAGAATAAACTCAAAATGGATAAAAAACTTAAATGTAAGTCATAGAACCATAAAAATTCCACAAGAAACCATAGGCAGCAAAATCCAAGACACCTCTCATAGCAGTATGTTTGCTGATAGATCTCTTAAGGCCAGGGAAACATGGGAAAAATAAACAAATGGGACTACATCAAAATAAAAAGCTTCTGCACAGCAAAAGAAACCATCAACAAATGAAAAGGGAGCCCACTGTATGGGAGAGCATATTTGCCACAGATATATCTAATAAAGGGTTAATTTTCAAAATATATAAGGACTCAACTAATACAACTTAAGAAATGAAAATTGACTTTAAAATATAAAAATGTGATAAAATCAGGCCAGCCAAATAGAGGTCAGAGAATAATAGTGTCTCATATGTGTTGAATATGCCATTACATCAAAAATTCTGAAAGGTGGTGTGATGTCAGTTATGCTGGCAGCTGAAGGCCCTCTTGCTAGTTATGAGCACTCAGCTAAATTTCTTTTTTGATCTCCCCAGTCTGTTTGCTCAACAGTAAAAGTGGGGCGGGCGGTGATAGTGCCACTTGCCTCACGTGGATCTGAAGGAGATCTGACACACATTCAGGCTTCCCCTCCCCTCTGATGACTTCTATTTCAGTGTAGGTCTGCCTTGTTTTATGGGTTCGTTCCTGAGAGGTTGTGGATAAATGTAACTTTACAGAACGTTTTCATGCATTAGGGAAGCTTCTCCTTAGAAGGCTTTGAATAATGTGTAAATAAATTGTCGCTCATTTATTCTTTTTGGTGAATCTAGGTTTTTGCACACAGCAATGGGTTTCATAAGGAGAGGAGTACATTTATGGCTTTAATGAATGGGACAGCAGATGAATAGCAGCTTTTTCCTTATTTGCTTGGGCAACTCACCACTTCTCATGTTATAGTAAAATAAGAGCTGGTTGGACTGGATGGTCTTTACAGTTCTTTCTAGTTTTGGCCTTCTCAGAATTTGTGACTCTGTCTTGGGACATCGCAGCTCATAAATCCTCATAGAGCAGGAACTGTGCGTTTTATATGGCTTCCTTGGAACCATTGGGTGCCGTCATAAGTGGCAAGTAGAGAAATGGAAATACTTAAGTGAATTGCAGGGAAAAGCGAACATTTTAAATCACTTTTCCCAAATTAGAAAACAAATTTAGGTTTTTGTTTCTGATGCTTATACCTATATTTAGGATCTAAGATGAAATCCAGGCCACAATGCAGTGCAAAGAGCAAATGTGAATGACTGAGGGGATAGGCACCAGCTAACTGAGTAGGCAAGGTATTGTGTGTCTTACATGAGGAAAACAATCTGAAACATTTTCTTTCCCCCGTTTTATTCCAATCAAGTGCCTAGTACTGAATCAGATAGAATAGTTTCCTAAATCTAGAATATGAGATAGCAAAAGGCATGAAATATATGCCCAATTCTTTCTCTTCAAAGATGCCTTTTAAAACAAATAAAAACTTGCCCTGGCCAGTACAGCGCGGTTGGTGGGAGTGTTGTTCCATGCACGAAGGGTTGTGGGTCCAAGTCCTGGTCAGACACTTACCCAGGTTGTGGGTTCGATCCCCAGTCAGGGGAGAGGCAACCAATAGATGTTTCTCTCTCATGTGTATGTCTCTTTCTAAAATCGATAAAAGTATATCCTCTGGTGAGGATTTTTAAAAAAATATATTTTATTGATTTTTTTTACAGAGAGGAAGAGAGAGGGATAGAGAGTTGGAAACATTGATGTGAGAGAATCATCATCAGCTGCCTCCTGCACACCCCAAACTGGGGATGTGCCCGCAAGCAAGGTACATGCCCTTGACCAGAATTGAACCTGGGACCTTTCAGTCCGCAGGCCGATGCTCTATCTACTGAGCCAAACCGGTTTCAGCTCTGGTGAGGATTTAAAAAAAATTTTATATGAAAAATTAAAATGAAATGAAAAATTGATTCTTGCCAAAGAAACTTCAAAGTCAAAGAAATTGTTTTCAGTTATGATTATAAACTCTTGATAAATGAATTTCAACAAAACAAGTGATTTAGGGAAAAAGCTCAAGTTTTTACTCTAAAGTTTTGAAATGAATTATTTAAGTTAAAATAAATAATTGGTATCTACACAACAGTATAGATAATGTTCCTAAAAAGTTCTGTCAGCTCATTTTTATTTTTTTTTAAGAAGAGGCAACCCTGCCTGGAGGAGTTGCCCTTCTGTTAAACTTTCTTTTCTTTTCTTTTCTTTTTTTAAATATATTTTTATTGATTTTTTACAGAGAGGAAGGGAGAGAGAGAGCTAGAAATGTCGATGAGAGAGAAACACCGACCAGCTGCCTCTTGCACACCCTCTACTGGGGATGTGCCTGCAACCAACGTACATGCCCCTGACTGGAATCGAACCCGGGACCTTTCAGTCTGCAGACGCATGCTCTACCACTGAGCCAAACCGGTTTCGGCATCATTTTTTTTTTTTTTTTTTTTGGAATCATGTGAGTGCAACAGGGAAATTTAACAACCCTATGGAGATTAGGGTGGTCAAGGAGCCAATAGGAAGTGACTCCTGATGGGTATGGGATTTGTCGGAGAATTCCTAAATCTAGGTCGTGGTTGCTTAAAGTGAGGCATCCCCACATTCATTCAGGTGCCCGAGTGAAGGCCAGACACTGCCCGGAGCGTGGGGGCACCTTCCTCTGGCCATCCCTCTGTGGCACTGAGTCCTTACTCTCTCCTACTCCTTCATCCTGACATCCCGGGGCAGAGGTCTCATTCACGTGGGCGTTTCCTGGCAGCTAGCCCTAACTTTATGCACAGTAGGTGCTCCCTAATTTTTTTTTAATTTCTTTATTGATTATGGTATCACATAATTGTCCTCATCCCCCCATTCCCATCCCAAACCCCTTCCCACGTATGCCCTCCCCTGTTGTCCATGACCACTGGTTAGGCTTATATGCATGCACACAAGTCCTTTGGTTGATCTCTGCCCTTTGCCCCCACCCTCCCCTACCTTCCCTCTGAGGTTTGACAGCTGCATCTCTGTTTCTAGGTCTGTTTCTGTTAATCAATTTATTCCCTAATTGTTCTTTAGTTGGATTGGCCTAAGTTTTTGCAAAGAGAAATGGGAGGGAAAGCAAGGGAGTTTCTTGAGCCCTTGGGCTAAATCTTGGGTTTGGCACATTATATATATTTTTTTCATCACATCCTCAGGACAAGGTTAAAAGCATGTCCCTTTTGATTTATAGGTGAGAAAAAAACGGTCAATATAAATATATTTTAAAAGGTCACTATATTCAATTGAAGACCTTCTGATATGCAAGATGTGACATTTTGGCATCCTAGAGCCCTCTGCCTTTTCCCCTGCTTGGCAGACACCGTGGGAAGTGTGTTTAAGGGACTGGCTTATTTGCTCTGCAATAAAACCAGTGGGCTAGGCATACTTACTGTTCCCATTTGAAAGGTAAGGAAACTAGATGAAATCAACTTCCATGCCTCAGGGTGATGACAGCTGCGTCTTGCACGTCACTGTGAATTTTTAGCTGCTGGAGCGCAGTAATTCTCAACCCTGTGTCAGCACATAAACATCACCTGTGCCTCTTACACGCACCCTCACCCCAGACCTACCTTAGGGTTCTCGGCCTTTGCACTTGAGACTCAAGAGGGAAGTTTTCAACAGTGCAGGACCCTACCCCAGGCCAATCCACTCCGAGCTGGGAGGGGACGCTCCCAGGGCACCTGGCTGTAACGAGCAGAGCAGCGAGGTGTGTAGACTGTGCCAAGAACTGTCTAGAGCTCAGGTTCCTTCTCCTCTACACTCACAGTGAGGGCAATGGCTTTAATTGCTCCTTCAATGGGGTGAATGCCTTACATGATTATTTATGGGTTCCTGCAACCTTTAGCCCTGTCCCTGGAACAGAAGAGGGGCTAAAAGAAATCACTGAACTGAATATAAAGCAGTAGTTTTCATAGGCAGTGGAGCCTAAAGAGTAGCAACAGTTCCGCTTCAAGGTGTAAGCACAGCTCCGGACAAGAAAGGCCTGTGCTCGGAGCTGTTTATTTTTATGCCTGATGCGTGTATTTTGGAATTTATGTACTTGTTACTGCTACTTAATATTAAAACCACTAACAGCCAAAACCGGTTTGGCTCAGTGGATAGAGCATCGGCCTGTGGACTGAAAGGTCCCAGGTTCGATTCTGGTCGAGGGCATGTACCTTGGTTGCGGGCACATCTCCATTGGGGGTGTGCAAGAGGCAGATGATCGATGTTTCTAACTCTCTATTCCTTTCTCTTCCTCTCTGTAAAAAATCAATAAAATATACTTTAAAAAAAATAAAACCACTAACAGAGGATGGAGTTTATTTTAATAAATAGCATTGTGCCCTGACTGGTTTAGGGCAGTGGATAGAGTGTGGAAAAGTCCCAGGTTTGATTCCTGTCAAGGGCATGTACCTTGGTTGCAGGCACATCCCCAGTGGGAGGTGTGCAGGAGGCAGCTGATTGGTGTTTCTCTCTCATCAATGTTTCTTACTCTCTATTCCTCTCCCTTCCCCTCTGTAAAAAAAAAAAAAAAAAAAAAAAATTTAAAGGATCAAAAATAAATAAATAAGTAGTATTGTATTAATATTTAGTAATATAATTACACCCCTCTATTCACTAGCCGTGGGTAAATGTGTTGGGTGAAGGTGCAGGATACGAAGGCTGAGTTTTGTAATGTGGGGATATGGGTAGTATGGGCAGCCGGGAAGTTCAGGAAAACAAAGGCAGCGAGCTGCTCCCCCTGACCCTCCAGTGATTGAGCAGAGCCTCATGGAAGACAAGCTCAAGAAAACCACAAACGGTTTCGGTAACTCCTTTTCAGAGTGCCCCAGGAGGGATGCCAGAAAGAATTCTTCTCTTGTTACACTTTTCCTTAAGTCACCATGAAAGATTCCCCATCCCCTACATAGATCACTGAAGAGCTTCGATGGAATTTCATAAACATTCATTGAGTGCCTAATATATTTGTGTTAATGGTTGTGGAGAATAGTAGACTATAGCAGTGTAGACCATAGACTATAGCCCTCATTCTTTTCATTATTGCTTCTTACCCCTTTTTAGACGTTTTTTTCCCTAGTCATCCACCCCCAGACACACTATATATGGGTTTATGTGCTGTACATATATCTGTGCTCTATAATTAACAAAATAGTAAGCTTTCCATACCCTAAGAACCAATTTTTGCCCCTGTGAGGGAGCTAAGGCAATGTCCCCGGGTATGAGTCTTTGGTCTTGAAGATTCCTGGTCAGAAGTATATATAGACATTTCTAGGAGACCTGAGCATACGCTGCGTAGGCTGACTAGGATCCTGAATAAAGCCCTCTTGGTTAAGTGAAGATCTCAGAAAGAACATCTCACCGACCAGTTCCTACAGTTTACCAGGAAGGTTGTGTCATAGTTCCAGGGAGCGTGTATCAGAGTGGTCCTTCCTGACGGGCTGCTGTACCTACAGAGGAGTGAAATAAGGCTTGGCATTCTTCCCTGTGAGGTATATTGCTAAATGTATGTGATCCGTGGGACATGAAAACTGAGAGGACAGGGGGTGATGGAAATCTATCTCCCTGTTACTCTGAACTGTCAATATAACAAGTCAGTGGCCTTTATCTCAGTTTTTTGTGTCTTTTTCTTTTTGTCCCCCACTATGCAGGAAGCATCCAGGATGCGGGAACATTGTGACATTTGCACAATTTTTCTTTATTGCTGTGGAAGGCTTCCTCTTTGAAGTCAATTTTGGGAGGAAGCAGCCAGCTATCCCAATAAGGTATGTACATTGAAGTCTCTTTTAGACTTTCTTTGTCTTTTAAAATAACATCTCCTAAGAATCCAGAAACACCAGTCGGAAAGAATATATCTACCCATTTGTTCGTAGCAGTGCAATTTACAGTAGCTAAGATTTGGAAACAGCCCAAGTGCCCATCAGTGAATGAATGGATAAAAAAGCTGTGATACCTTTACACAATGGAATGCTACACAGCTGTAAAACAAACAAACAACTCACCATTTGCAATAGTGGGCATGAACCTGAAGAGTATTATGCAAATTAAATAAGCCAGTCAGAGAAAGATAAGTATCAAATTATCTCACTGATTTGTGGAATCTAATGATCAAAATAAACTGATGAATAAAATAGATTTAGAGGCATGAAAGCATGCAACAGGCTGATAAACTTCAGTAAGAAGGGGAAGGTTATGGGGTTGGAGGGGAGGATTAACAGGGGAACTTATATGCATAACCCTATATGTATAACCCAAGAACACAGGCAATAGGGGTGGTGAAAACCTGGGAGAAATGGGAACCAGTTGGAGGCGGTCAACGGGGAAAACAAAAAAACACAAACAGGACATCTATAATACTTTTAACGATAAAGATAAATTTTTAAAAAATTAAGAGCTTTTCTGGTACTTACGCAAAAGGAATATGAGACATCCATTTATAAGATTTGTATCAAAGATATAGTAGAGTTTATATTCATTTTCTAAATTTAATATGTTGTGAAACTCCAGGAGCCTGTCCTAATATATAAAAAGCCAGGGACCATCACAACCAAGCAACTGGATGGATGACCAAACAGTAGGCCATGTGGGGCGACAAGGCTGTCAGGGGGGTTAGTGAGGGATGATCAAATGACTGAACAGAAGGCTGCGTAGGGCGAGCAGGCCGGCGGGGGGCGGGGGGGCAGTTGGGGGCAACCAGGCTGACGGGGGGGAGGGGGGGCGGGGGGCCAGTTGGGGGTGATCAGGCCAGTAGGCAGAGACGGTTAGGTGTGATCAGGCTGGTGGGCGGGGGGAGTGGGGCATTAGGGGTGATCAGGCAGGACGGCAGGTGAGCAGTTAGGAACCAGTGGTCCCAGATTGTGAGAGGGATGTCCGACTGCTGGCAGGATTGTGCCTAAACCGGCAGTCGGACATCCCCCGCGGGTTCCTGGATTGGAGAGGGTGCAGGCTGGGCTGAGGGACAACCACCACCCCCATGCATGAATTTCGTGCACCGAGCCTCTAGTTAGTATTTAAAATAAAATTCCTATCACTTTAAATAACTGATGGAGACAACAGTGTGTGTGTGTGTGTGTGTGTGTGTGTTTGTGTGTGTGTCTAACTGAGTGGTAGGTGATAAGTTAAAGGCCTAGTGTGATCTCACCAATTTTTTAAATAGTTATGTGTGCTATCCTCATGTTATCACATACGGTAAGAGTGTTATCATTTTTCCTTTTAAGAAATGAATTCCTTTTGGAAATAGAGGTGGTAGTTGTGTAATATTGAGAATGAACTAAATGTCCCTGAATTATTCACTTTTTAAAAAATGGTTGATTTTATGTTATGTGAATTTCACCTCAATTAAAAGAAAGTGATTGGCAAACTAAGGCAAAATTGTTGATTCCAAACCTCTATCCATTAGTCTATATTTACATAGTTGTACTCATGGGGCCAAATAGCAATTCTTATAATAAACAATGTATTGAAAATGTATTCTTGCTGTCAGAGATTTGAAATAAATATGTAATCCACCTATTATTTAATAGGATAGTGTCACTTAATCCCTTTGAGGGGGTCCTTCTGGTATGAATGTATGCGGGGACTGGTTAAGGTTTGGTGTTGGTATTATTTTGCAGCATTCCTGAGTAATCTTACTATAGAAAACCTAGCTGAATTTTGTTATTAATATCGTATTTTAAAATTCCCAATGTGATGCTAAATATTCTGAATACATTTTTGTTTGTTTTTGTTGGCTTTCATATCTGCACAAAATTCTTTGCTCTCAAGTCCAGTATGACATCATGGGGAGCTCCAGCATTTTTTATTTCTTTGACCCTTTCTCTGTTTCCATTCTGGCTGCCAGCGAAGTTCAGGACCTATTCATTTTCCTCACAACTTTTATAACAGTTCTAGATTCTAGAGGCCCAGTGCACATTCGTGCACTTGAGGGCGTGCTCCCTTAGCCCAGCCTGCACCCTTTTGCAGTCTGAGAGCCCTTGAGGGATGGCAGTTGGACATTTTTATTGCTGCCACGAGGTGGGAGAGGCTCCCACCACCACTGCTGCGCTTGCCAGCTGTGAGCCCAGCTTCTGGCTGAGCAGCACTCCCCTGTGGAGCGCACTGACCACCAGGGGGTAGCTCCCTGTGGTGAGCGTCTGCCCCCTGGTGGTCATTGTGCGACATAGTGACTGGTTGTTCCTGTTCGGTCGATTTGCATATTACCCTTTTATTTTATTTTATTTTTTTTATTTTTTTATTTTTTTAAATATATTTTATTGATTTTGTACAGAGAGGAAGGGAGAGAGATAGAGAGTTAGAAACATTGATGAGAGAGAGTCATCGATCAGCTGCCTCTTGCACATCCCCCACTGGGGATATGCCCGCAACCAAGGCACATGCCCTTGACCGGAATCGAACCCGGGACCCTTCAGTCCCCAAGCCGACGCTCTATCCATTGAGGCAAACCGGTCCCGGCTGCATATTACCCTTTTATTATATAGAATCCTTCTTGCACAGCCTTTGGCCAGTTACCTCCTCATCTCACATGTCAGCTTCTTACCTTTGTAGTGTGGCACCCTCTCTCACAAGTGCTCAGGGGTCACCATTAGGGTCAGAATAAAGCCCAAACTCCCTAACCTGCCCTTGGAGGCTCACCATAACCCTTCCCTAACAGCCATGCTCCATGTGTCCCATTTGTGCTGGCTTTTTATTTCCTACCTATGAAGCTTTAATGACAATCTTGCTCCTGTCATTCATTCCTGTGAGCGATTTCTGGGCAGTGCTATGTTGGCAACAATGTAGAATAAAGTTGGAATTAATTTCCTGAAAGACCTTAATGAACTCATTTTATCTTTAGATGGCATCTTTTCAAGACAGGGACTAAGAAAATTTGGCAAGTCACCAGTGGTATATGACTTAAAGCAGGGGCACAGCTATTGCCAATAGTTTTTTCATATGTGTGATACTGTTTTTGCATTGATAGGGAAGATAGCTTAGACTTGGTGTCGTCGAATTCTTCAGATGTGCAAAGATGAAGGATGAGATTCCGTCCTTCAAAGATCAGCATTTTGTGACGAACACGGAACTCCTTATTTACCTTTCCCCTGCATTCTTTAGCCATTTATTTTAAACTAGAGGCTTGGTGCACGGGGGTGGAAATACCTCAGCCTGGTTTGTGCCCTCTTGCAATCCAGGACATCTTGGGGGATGTCCCGACTGTCGGTTTAGGCCCAATCCCCGCAGGAGCCTATGGGGATCGGGCCTAAACTGGCAGTCGGGACATCCCCCGAGGGATGTAGGAGTGGGCCAAGCGGCAGGCAGCCAGGGAGGAGCCCAAGCCAGGGTCCTGGCGCCATGCACGCCCATCCCAGCCTGCTGTGCCTGCCGCTGCCGCTTGGTAGTGCTGCCACGGAGTCGGGAGATTCTCCTGCCGTCGTAGCTGTGCTTGCCAGTGGTGAGCCTGGCTTCTGGCTGAGCGGCGCTCCCCCTGTGGGAACACACTGACCACCAGGGGGCAGCTCCTACATTGAGTGTCTGCCCCCTGCTGGTCAGTGTGCTTCATATAGCGACTGGTCGACCAGTCGTTCCGGTCATTTGGTCATAATGGTTCCTTAGGCTTTTATATATATACTAGGGGCCCAGTGCATGAAATCGCATGAGACCCAGAACCCAGAATCTCGTGGCTCAGCGGGACCCAGAAAGAGTCCTGTGGCTGTGCCACTGCCACTGACGTGGGAGGCAGGACCCAGAAAGAGTCCCGCTGCCTCTGCCACCGCAGCTACCACAGGAGGCGGGACCCAGAAACCCACCCGCAACTCCGGACAAGTCCTCCAGAGTCAGGTTCCCCCCACCCGCATGGGCCTCGCTCTGCACTCAGCCCCGCCAACCCCGAGCACACAGCCTCCTGCTGATCAGTCATTACAGCATGATGGCATGACGACCCCGGCTTTTTATATAATAGATGTGTGTGTGTGTGTGTGTGTGTGTGTATTGCTTTTTCTCCTATTGAATGTATTAGGCTGAGTAAGATGAAATTACTGATATTCAAACTTTTTGACCTATAAAAGTATGGTAGTTTCATGTGGTTGAATGTGATATGTATCAAAGGCATCTTAATTTTATTTGGCTCAACCTGGTATGTGTGAGAGGCATTGTAAAAGTATTTTGTAGTTCAAAATGGGGGCATACAAATGTAAAATTAATTCATTTGTCCATTTGTATTTATTTCTTTATCTAAGGTACTAGGGTTATTGCATTTTTTTTTAAATTTTTTATTTTTTTGTGTTATTTTTTATTTAAAGACCCTGGGGCCCTGGTTTTTAAATACAAATTTGTACAAGTTAAATGATGTCCTCATTAATTGGGAGGTCAATCCAAGTGTGAGATAATTATTAACAGTTGCTAGGCTGAAAGTAACCTTGGACTTAGCAAATATTTTCTTTAGAAATAGTGAAAATTAATAGTATAAACAAGTGTATAAATGTAGTATTTGAGAGAATTGACCATTTTTAAGTTCTTTAGAGGTATATGAAAATTAAACAAAGAACTGACACAATAATAAAAATTCACTTTTGTTTTATTTTAAAAGTGAAATATATTGAGGTAGCAATAAATTTGTGTTATTAATTAACTAGAGGCCCGGTGCATGAAATTCGTGGACGGAGGTGGGGGTTTGTCCCTCAGCCTAGCCTGCACTCTCCAATCTGGGATCCCTCTCACAATCTAGGACTGCTGGCTCCCAACTGCTTGCCTGCTTGCCTTCCCGATTGCCCCTAACCGCTTCTGCCTG